TCCAGGCTGTCATTCCAATGCAGTATTGGAAGAGCACTGCATTGTCATAGTTGTGGTCCATGAGACTTTACGAAACGCATTGATATGCTCTCCACATCAAATTGAGGTCCCATCTGCTTGTTCATGTGGAAGTTAAAGATCCTGTGGCATTATTCAAAACAGGATGAGTTTTCCCTAGTGTCCCAGGTAAAATTGGTCATTCATCTCATGGTGGTTTTGCAGTGTTCACCAAGAAATACAATGTCACTACACCTTACAGTAAATCCTGTGAAGAACTTTGAGGTGTTTTGGCAATGTGATAAGGCACTGTATCAAATTCAAGGTTACTTCTTATTATTATTATTGCCTTTGTAGAGCTACCTACCCAAGAGTTAAAAGTTATACAAAAGTGTTTACATATTTTATGCAATGGTACAGCGAACCTTTCAACATGTCAGATACTACAACACATTCAGTGGTTTACAGACTGAAATAACTATCAGCTAAATTGCTATAAGCACCATAAATATTGACAGATATCACAAGGACAATATATACACCATATAAAACAATAAGAACCATCATCATCATCATCCTTACATTTGGTATAGCGCCTTTCACATCTTAATAATAATACTAATGATCCTTGCATTTGATATAGCGCTTTTCACGTCGGGAGGACATCCCAAAGCGCTTCACAGAACACACTGTAAAGTGAATTGACTGTATATTTGTGGGCGAACGCGGCAGCCAATTGCGCACAGCAATGTCCCACAAACAGTCGTAGATTGAAAATGACCAATTTATTATTGTTTTTGGTTTTGGAGGGATTATTATTAGGCTCTGTGTGGAGTAAGGAAACTTGCCCAAGGTTTCGCTTTCTGCCTGGAATTGAACTCAGGTCTCTCACTTGCAAAGTGAGTGCTCTAACCACTGAGCTACAGGACTCCGCAATAATTAAATAATCGTCTTCTCCAATTTGCAAACCATATGTGAATCTAACTACTGTATATATTATGCAAAATAAAGATTCTAATCCTCTCTTTGACACTGTATAACTGAACAGAAATTTACATTGTTATAAAGTATCCAGAATATCTATTCAATATAATATATTTTTAAATTTGTTTTACAGGTCCTAAAGGGGAAACAGGACAACTAGGAACTGTTTATTTGTGTTTGTGTAGTGTTGGCTTTATACAGTAACCGATTTGGCAAATTGGAGCACAGTTTATGGAGCTACATTAATGGCATTTATCAATACTACACTAATTTTTTACAGCCAACCAGTAAACACAGGGTCACAACCAAACCACTGTGTACACACAAAACTACAATTAAGACCATAGCAGTTGACACAGTCTGCCTTACAGGATCAACTGGTACCTATAGTGTCTAAATTCTAAGTTTGTTCCAACAACAATTTATATAGTGACCTACATATAATATAATAATATTGTTCCTTCACCAGACAGACAACCAAATTAAATGTGGTAGTCTTTGATATGCCAGTGGATCTGATCGATATCCCTAAGATGTGACAATGATTTTTGTTATTGACTTTGTTGCTCAGGGTGAAACCTTGGGCAAGTTTCCTTACTCCACACGCCTAATAATAATCCCTCCAAAAAAACAAAGCAATAATAAATTGGTCATTTTCAATCCACGACTGTTTGTGGGACACTGCTGTGAGCAATTGGCTGCTGCGTTTCGCCCACAAATATACAGTCAATTCACTTTACAGTCTATTCTGTGAAGCGCTTTGAGACGTCGAGAAGACGTGAAAAGTGCTATATCAAATGCAAAAATTATTATTATATTATTATTGTTCAGGCTCTTAGTCATTTAATGTGTCTTGCCTATTTTAAAGAAAACAACTGCTTTGGTTAAGATTATGCTCTAAGGGAATGTTTAAATAGTGCTGATTTTCTAGTACTTTAGGATGTCAGAGTGGCTCAGTTGGAATTGCTCCTCCCTCACTTCTGGGTTAGAAAGTTGTGAGCTCAAAGCCCAATATTGAGTCTTGAGATTAATAGTCTAGACTGACAATCCAGTGAAATGTCTAGTGAGTGCTGAATTATCAGAGGTGAGTCCATCGACTTTTGGGATAGAGAAAAGATCTTTTTGTGCCTATTTTAGAATTCCTTAGAATATTTATGGAGTCCTGTAACTCAGTGGTTAGAGCACTCGACTCTCAAGCGAGAGACCTGGGTTTGATTCCCAGCAGGGTGAAACCTTGGCCAATTTTTGCTTACTCCACACGCCTAATAATAATCCTTCAAGAAAAAACAATAATAAATTGGTCACTTCAATCCACGACTGTTTGTGAGACATGCTGTGTGCAATTGGCTGCCGAATTTTGCCCACAAATATTACAGTCAATTCACTTTACAATATATTCTGTGAAGCGCTTTGAGACGTCGAGAAGACGTGAAAAGTGCTATATCAAATGCAAGGATTATTATTATATTATTATGAGAGGTAGCGTTCCAGAGCGCTTGACAGTGGCGGAATCTGACTCTACGCCAAGGGGAGAGGGAATCGGGCAGAGACCGTAAATATGATCAAAAAATAAGTTCTTTAGGCAGGATTTGTAGTTGGGAGGGAGAGGGCAAGTTGGAGGGATTGAGGGAGAGATTTCCAGAGTTTTGGGGAGTAGTGGCTGAAGGTCACTGATGGTGGAGCGGACAAGGGACAAACAGGAGGTCGGAGCCAGCTGGTGGTGGAATATGGGGTAAGAATATTGGATAGGTAGAAAGATGCCAGGGCATGAAGGGGGTTGAAAACGAGTGAGAGGATCTTAAAATCAATCCATTAGGTGATTGGGAGCCAGTGGAGCCTGGCAAGGACTGGTGTGATGGAGGTATGGAGTTTTGCACAGGTGAGTATCCAGGCAGCGGAATTTGGGATTAATTTTGTATATGGGGGAGTTGGGGTGACCAGCGAGGAGGGCATTAGAGTAGTCCAGCTGGGAAGTGCCGAAGGCGTGTACAAGGGTTTCGGCTGCGTCAGTTGTGAAGTACGGATGGAGGCGGACAATGTGACGGAGATGGAAAAAAGAGATCCTGGTCAAGTCATTTACTCACCAAAATGTATATATTGTTGTTGATGAGACTGGAGAACATCAACAATGAAATTACATTTGTATAGCGCCTTTCACCTCGGGAGGACATCCAAAGTGCTAGACAATGAGTGTTTCGGACCCGAGCTGGGGGTCAGGATCTGGGAGGGTGAAGGGCGGGGGGGGGAAGGAGGGTGACCAAAGGCACGGTCGAAGAGTAGGGTCTTGACACAGGTCTTGAAGGAGGCAAGGGAGGGGGTGAGGCGGAGGGACTGCGTGAGTTCCAGAGGGTGGAGGCATAGTGGCTGAAGCAGGCCAGAGCCCACAGAGCGGGGGGTGCGAGCAGGTTAGTAGGGGATTTGGACAGTTGGCAGTCTAGGATATTGTTCGTTACAAACAAGATAAAACATACCAACATGGAGTCTTTAGTCTGTAATAACTCAGATATGTTACAGTGAGTAAAGACCGAGACAAAATTTTAAAACTGCGCATTTTCAAGCTTGGGCATTGTTTCTGTTGGGCTGGCTGGCATAACCGCCTGCAAAAATCAAACTAGGTATTTACCTATGGTTTCATAACTTCAGAAAGATCACAATCTGTTTTTGCTTTTGATATAGTGCCTTATCCAAGGATTCACACTCCACCTCCGAGCCAGTCCTGAACCTTGGCGTTTTGTTTGACCCTCAACTGTCCCTTCTACCCCACATTCGTGCCATGACCCGCTCCGCTTATCCCACCTCCGCCACATCACCTAGCTCAACCACTGCCTCCCCTCAGGCTGCCGAAACTTTTTTCTGCACAGAAAATGGCTTTTTGGAACGTCATGTCTTGCTGCTACCTATGTTTTCAAATTAATCCCACCCTCTTTCTGAAAGCATGCCGTTTTCAACATCTATCTAGACAGGAGGTGAGCTTCTAGTCTTGAATTCCTATATTGCTCCAATCATGCAAATTCAATCCAATAGTAAGGGTCACAGCACACAACCCTTTGCCACCAGCAGTACAACCGTTATAAAATAGGGATGAGATCACAACCTTGCACTCCCACTACATGCAACTTAAATAATAAAGTAATCATCCTTGCATTTGATGTAGCGCTTTTCATATCTTCTAGACATCTCAAAGCGCTTGACAGAATATACTGTAAAGTTCATCATCAAAACCAACACAATATCTAAATAGAAAACCTACAAGAGATAATAATCCTTGTATTTGATATACACCCTTTTACATCAGGACATCGCAAAACTCTTCACAAAGTTTAGTGCAAAGTGTAGAAATGTTATTTTGTAGGTGAACAAGGGACACAACTTACACTTATCAAAAGGCTGGCACCCTACCTCTGTAACCTGATAATTCCTTGTGGACCTGTCCACTCTGCAGGTTCTGGTGTGCTCCATGTCCTCCCTCCTCTTTGGTCATCCTCCTATCCCTAACCGCCCTGCACTTCACCCTTCCGGATTCCAAACCCAGCTCAGGTCCAAATCCTTAACTGTCTAGCACCTCCCAAAATGAAAGGTCTATACAAATGTAATTTGTTGTTGTCTGTAAGTACCTTTACCTGAAGCTAAATGCAAAGGGTGGTGTGGTGGAGGTAAAGAGGAAAGGTTAATGTAAGGCAGAGGTGGAGAAGATGCTCCAGAGACCAAGTGCAAGAAAATGAAAGCTCAGCTGCCAATGGTGAAGGGGCAAAAGATGTACAGCATGCCAAAATTTGCAGCGCGGGAGGGAAGGAGACTGCTAGGACAACAACTAGCAATGATGTGAGAGCAAGGATCGTGAATTCAATCTGAGGAAGCAGGCGTGATGGGCTGTAAACAAATGTTTTAAAATGTAAGAATCTATGAAAGCCATTTAATGCTCCATTTGTGTCAAATTAGTGAGTTTCTGGCATAATGGCAATAGTCTAAGGAGATATTTGAACAGCACAAATTATCAGTAGAAAGTCATTAATTTTTTAAAAAAAGTTTATTTCAGAAGCATTTCAAAAAGGTCAACAAAACAAAAAGCTGCAACTTTTAAGCAATTACTGAGTGGCAAATAGTAAACTATGACGTCTTCCTTCCACCGCCCCCCCTTCCACATAAAACTAGTTTGTGCTGTGCACCAACATAAACTTGCTCTTACCATGCCAATTCATAACCCCACACTCAAGGCAAGTGGCAAACAAACACCACTAAGAACAAAGACAATGGGACACCCAAAGACATTTTCGTAGTGTGTTAACTATACAAAACAAAAAAACTGTACAGTTTAAAATCAAATTCTCATATACATAGCCTTATATATTTAATTTTTTTTTAAAGGAGCAAAGTGTGTACAGGGGTGGGGGTAAATGCTTTAACTGAGAAGTTTTGCTTTAAGCAAAATAAATGTTTAATCATCGTCATCTTCATCATCCTCATCATCTTCTTCCTCCTCATCATCCTCATCTTCATCTTCCTCTTCTTCCTTAGCTTTCTTCTTAGATTTTTCAGCTTTGGCAGTGAAATTCTTAACACTGTCAGGCTTTGTTTTAGCACGATATGCTGCAACATCCTGAAAATCAAGGGGTTCATCATAGCATTATGTACTAAGTGCCGACTGAATTAATATTCAGAACCGCCATGAGTCTTTTAGCAAAATTTCCATCTTTAGTAGTGTAGCTTTTCCCCCACCACAAATAATTCAAGCCCATAAAAGAGAGAATTAGATAATTACTCAAAGATATATTAATGATTATGAGAGAACAAAGAGTGGGATCAGATTAATTGGCTCAAGTGGATAAAAATACCAATAGACACAAGTGCCTGAATTTCCCATTTCTGTGTTGTAACATTCCATGTATTCAGCTGACAATACAATGAATTCTAGATAATGACTATCATCTAAATCAGAAATGATACAATCAAGTAATAAATTAGATGTGACAGCACCTCAGGACTTCTTCCTGACATGAAAAGCGCCATATTAACTTGTTGAGCTGTAAATTAAATAATCGATATGTATTTTTTCCAAGTTCAGACTCATTGTAGGAGAAAAATATCAATGGGACATTACAACCGGTCCCAGTCATGCCCAAGTTGAAATGACTATTTTCAAGCACTTTGAGTCATCCTGCCGACGTGAGGTGTTATACAAGTATAAATTGTATGGATTATAGCTTCCTTCATTAGAATTGATGCCATTCATTGGACAATGCATGGATTTTGCAGTTCAACGTTTAATTTAATGGATATTTACCTTTTTGTATTTTTCTTTCAGCTTGTCTGCTTGCTGTTCATATGGCAACTTTTCCTCTGATCCCATTGCATTCCATTTCTCCCCCAGCTTTTTAGCTATATCCCCAATGGACAGTCCGGGACACTCTTCTCTAATCTTGGGTCGGAGATGCGCCGAGAATATAAAGAAACCAGATCTGGAATCAATTAATAAACAAATTTGTAAATAAAATTCTCTGAAAGTGGATTTACTTCTGTACAGCGAGATCAGAGCCGCTCCTATAATAGAATGAGATCTGAAATGCATCAAACTTATTTTCCCCCCACCCCTGGAGAGAGATATTGTATTGTACAAATACATTAACTGTATAGTGGGTTACTGCTTTAAAGTTGGAAACCACTTACGGAGGTCTCTTTGGTGCATTGGGGTCCTTCTTTTTCTTCTGCTTCTTCGCACCTTTTGGTGGTACATAATCCTTCATTTCACTCTCGTAGCGCTTCTTGTCTTCTTTTGACAGTTCTTCGAACTTTGATTTCTCTTTGGCAGACATAGTCTTTAGGGAGACACGTTTTGTTAAGTGAAATCCGAAGAATAGTTACAACCCGAGTGTATAAAGTACAGGAGCCTTTGCCACCAGCGGTACAATCTTTATAACAGAGATGAGATCGCACTTGCACTCCCACTGGGTGCAAGTTCACCATCACAACCAACACAACACCCGAATAAAACACGGGGTGCCAGGGGCAGCTCACTCCCGGTTATTACCTCTATTAAGCGCGAAGTTACATCTTAAAAGCTGACGCATTGCGTTCATTTCACTTCAGAATGAGAACAAAAGAATTAGCCAAAAAAGAACCGTGTGCCGGAGACGGAGAGCCGCTTACCTTCCACCTCTCGGAGCACTTCTTTGAGAATTCAGTGAAGGACACCACTTTCTCGGGATGCTTCTTTTTGTGTTCTTCCCGGCATGTTTGGACAAACAATGCATACGAGGTCAATCTGCCTCGGGGTTTCTTTGGATCACGGGCCATTTTGCGCTTGATCTTTAATAATAAGGGCAATTGTTGACTTTTTTCCTCCCCCCTCCCCCCCCCCCCACTCCCCACACACATCCCCATCCCAACCCCATCCCGTTTCGTGCAGTTTTTCGAGACGCATCAATTCGTCGCGTTCAGTTAAAGTCAAGCTCTCGGGTATTTTTTTTTTGTAGCGGTGGGAGGACGATACAAACCCCGTGAAACCTTCAGGGTAAAACCGGTCCTGACTCGACGCGTAAAATAATAACTGGAGCTATCCGTCCCGGCAGGTCGCCTCCAGCTCGGTCCTCAAGCGAAGTAGTTTGGCTTTAAAAACCCGAACACCATTTACCATTGCCCTCCTCTCTCTCTCTCTCTCTCTCGCTCTCTCTCCACATCCACTGCACAAGACGCGGTTTAAAAACTTCACAACACGAACCCCCCGTGAATTTGCACCCGTCGCAGCGCTTTAAAATTCCGGGATAACAAGGCTTCCTTTCACAAAAAAAATACCCACAACAAAACGAAAAAAAAATATCCCACCACCAGTCGCGCTTTGTTTCAAAAATACCAGAGAGAGAGAGGGAGAGAAAAACACAACATAAAAACGGCTCAAAAAAGGGACGCGAAGTTCCCCCCCCCCTCCAAAATTCAACTCGGGGGGGGAAACACCCTCGAGATTATCGGTTGAAAGTGAACCTTTTTTTGAGGTAAAAAAAAAAATTTTTTTCCTCTTTTTTTAATTCTTCCCGCCATTTTGTCAGTTAAAGCCAGTTTCACGCACACCCACACAAAAAAAAACACACATTCGCGGGTTTCTTTCTTTTTTTAAAAAAAATAAAAAACCTTTCGCTGCGTGGTCTGTTTTGTTTAAAAAAAAACCCCAAAAAAAAACACACCCCTCAGCACTTCCGCGATCCTCCCTCCAGTCGCGGCAATGGAGAGAGAGAGAGAGAGAAAATAAAACACGCACAAAGTCAAGGCTTCTTCTCTGACTTTGCTCTGTCACCTTCCAGTTATATTTGGTTGTCGTCGTCCCCCCTCCACACACACACACACACACACCCTCTTCAGTTTCTCGCCCGAGTTCGCCGCTCAGAAACCCTCACACTTCAAACACATTTTTTTTAAAAAAAATGTCCTCCTCCTCCCCCCCCCCCCCTCCCCACCACACACAAAAAATAATATATTTTTTTACAAAAATAAACCTTAAAAAAAAAGGGTCATTGGCCACGAAGGAGAATTCTCCCCGTCGAAAAAAAAAAGCCCAAGTCTTGAGGTAAAAACTCTATAGCGTGTCCGTGTGTGTGTGTGTAGTGTGGAGAGCTATGGCGGAAAAAAAGAAACGGGAGGAAAGGAAATAAAAAAAACAACAATATTCCTTCTTCCACTGTCACAAACATCTCCTCATGAGAGAAAGTGCCCCTCGAATGGCGCCAGAAGACGACTCCCGGGCACCTCCCGTCGCCGGGAGGCGGTTTTGCCCGTTTTTTCCCGCTCTTGTGGCACGGTTTACCGAGAGCTAATGCTTTGTACCAAGTTTTTCAGTGTCAGCGCTGAGCGGGCTATGGCCGCTTGTCTGTAACACGCACAGAACATGGCTCCCATCTTGATTGAGACACAACAGAGAGTGGGGGGGGGGGGTGAAGCAACAGCAACCCCCTCCCCATTCGGATCCCGCTTTCAACCCTCAAAACCCCTCGGAGCGACTCGAGAGACACGGCGACGGACAGCGGAGAGTCCGGGCTACACGCAGCCGAGGTCAAACCCCGGCGGGGACGACTCTTTGGGCCGCTGAGCGCCGTTTGGAAAAGTTGTAAAAGCCAACTCGCCTCCTCTGCACGGCGCTGTGCTGCTTAAATGGCTCTCGCTTTGCAAGTCAGCCATGTTAACAAGCGAGAGAGCGCGCACTCGGCAGCCGAGACGCTCTCGTCTCGCCCCAGCCGCTAAAACCTCCACCCACAAAATAAAGCGTTAGAAAATAAGCGAGAGACATGGAGAGGGTTGTTTTTATCTGTACAAATACCGCTGGTTCTGTGGTCGTTGCCCTGCGGTCACTCATTCGCTGTCGCTGTCTTCGCTGCAATGGCTGGGCTCGCGAGCTACGCAGCCCCAGTACCCAACATTGCCGCGCTCCCATTGGCCGCCGCCGCCTCAGCGCGGCCCGCCATTCGTCCACCGCCCTCCATTGTTCTGGGCACAGGCGACCTGCCATTGGTCAGCAGCGGGTTCAACGTCAGCCCAGAGCGAAAATGCGCGCAAATACAAACGGCTGAAGAAGGAGACAGAGAGATACATACACTACATTACACACTCAGAGACGTGGTGAGTATACACACAGCGGTAAACAGGGACATCTATCACAAGGAGAGGGATACGCGCATTACACACACGGAAAGAGACATCCACCACAGATAGGCAGAGGTGCACACATTCTGCACAGAGAGGTAGACAGGGGCATCTGTGACAAATACACATTTCACCCACAGACTGATACAGAGAGGGAGAGACACCCGCATACACTGCACACAGAGACATGGGGAGTACACACACAGCAGTAGACAGAAGCATCTGGTCCCAGAGAGCGATATATTAACATTACACAATGATACAGAGAGAGACATCCACCACAAAGAGGGAGGGAGACACGCTTACTGCACACAGAGACATGGCGAGAAGCGAACACAGAGCGACACAGATATCCACCACCACACGGAGATACTGCACACATGTACCACATGTGTCAGCCTGGCTCGGTGGGAGCAGTCTCCCCTCCGAAGGTTGTGGGTTCAGGGAGGAATCCCAGGGTCCAAGATGACACTCCAAAGCAGTGTATGTTGTATGTTGTTGTTGTATGTTGAACTGTCGGAGGTACTGTCCTTCAGATGGGACGTTCAACCGGGGTCCCGTCCCGCTGCTCAGGTGGACGGTAAAGATCGCTTTGCACTGTGAGAAAAGCGGGATTTTCATTACGGTATATTAAATGCTTCGTGCAATATTTGCAAATATGAACTCGTATTCACCAAAGTCCTGTGATTACTAGAGAAAGAGAAAGAGAATGGGGAATCGGGCTCACCGACCTCTCGCCACTGTATTCTTGTTCATGTCCAGGTTTACTCTCAAGACAGTTCTGTCAGTGTGGGGAGTCCAGACAGCTCCAACTGTCTTGGAATAGAGGTGAAAGGGTCTCGACATTTCTGCAGTCGGTGGGCGTTAAAGACCCCACAGGAGTGGCAACAGTATGGGAGTTGCTCCTGTTGTCAGTGCCAATACTTTCACAGATTAATTGGCCATTCACTATGAAGCAGTTGGCGTATGATTCCTGCATTTGCTTTCAAAAAGACATTGAACCCCGATGGTGATTACTTTTTTCGATATTTTGGTTGTGTTGCAAAATACTTTGTTCGGTAGACTTTTCCAAATGTTTACCACTTGAAGTCAACGTTCTATGATGTTATAACGATACTCGGTTCTCTCGTCTCTCGTGCGTTTGAAGTAACAGTCTGGGTTTACCTTTTCTGTACCATTTCATGTTTTGTGTACTTTGATGAGGCACTTCCTGCCCACTCTGAAAAGTTTTTTTTCGATGTTTCATCACTCTTTCTTTACAGCTCTTCCTTTAAACTTGTTGCTATTTATTCATCCAGAATCCAGATCGTGATGAACCCCTCCATTTCAAACTCTATAATTATAATTATATAATTCCTAAACATTATAATTACTGTACTTGGATCTTACTCAAATACAATAACTTATTCTAAATACCCCAAGTTAGGTTTAATAACACAAGGGAGTCACTCCCAGTGTCCAGGCAATCTCCTGAGTAACAATATTTACTTAATGGCTATTTGTGAGACATTGCTGTACACAAATTGTCTACACAAAACACAATCCCTGGGCATTCCTCAGGGCTCTATCTTTGGTCCTCTGTTCTTCACTATCTATAGACTTCCACTCGTTAATATCATCCACGGACATGGGGTTCGTTCTACCTGACGTGATTAGAAGGCATCAGTTTAAGACAGCAAACAAGTAAATGGGTAAGTTAGAATTTGTTTTCACACACAGAGCAGTTAGAGTATGGAATGCCCTACCGGGAGCAGTGATGGAAGAGGAATCCATATTAGCTTTGAAAAGAGAACTAGATAAGTACCTAGAAAGGAGTCAACTACAGGGATATGGGGAAAGGCCAGATAAATGAGACTGAAAGGATTGCCTTTAAAAGAGCCTATGGTTCTATATATGCAGATGACACGCAACTCTATCTCTCTGCATCCACCCTCGAATTCGAGATCATTGCTTTTCTGACCAATTGCATGTCAGTCATCAAGTCCTGGATGAGCGCTAACTTTCTTCAGTTGAATGTTGAGAAGACACAAGCTCTGCTCCTTGGCTCCCTTCAGTACCTTCTCGCCTCAGACACTGATAGCATCAATCACACTCCACCTCACGAACCAGGTGCAGAATCTTGATGTCTTTTTGGATTCTCAAGTGTCCTTTAAACCCCACACTCCATGCTCATACCCACTAAGTTTCACATTCAAATCACTCTTATCTAACCTCCTCTTTAATTCTTTCTTTTTTTATCTTAAATTTGCGTTCTCGTGACTGACTCCCTGATCAGTGGAAAAATCTACCTAGTTAATAATTATATACCAATCATAGAATTATGCAGCACAGAAGGAGGCCATTCGGCTCATCGTGTCTGTGCCGGTTCTTTGAAAAGAGCTATCCAATTCAATCCAACTCCCCCGCTCTTTCTCCGTAGCAAACTTGTCCTCCCCAGCACCCTTGTGGGCAAGGAAAAAAATTCTCCTTACCTTCCCTCTGTTTCTTTTAACAACTATTTTAACTCGGTGTCCTCGGGTTACCGACCCACCCGCCAGTGGAAATGGAAATCATGATTCTTCATAATCTTGGAACACCTCAGATCTTTCTTTAAACTTCTCACCTCAAGTGAAATATACTCAAAATCTACAGGTCTCTCTTTCGATTCATTGTCTACATATGTTGCACTTTTTATTTCCTTTTTTTTCCTCACCCTCGTATTCAAGTCACTGCACTCCTCTGCACCCCCCTACCTCTCTGACCTCCTTTCTCCTCAGCACAGTACCCGTTGCCTTCGTTCCTCCGCCTCTGGCCTCCTCCTTGTCCTCCGAGGCCTCCGCTCCACCCTCAGCGGCCATGCCTTCAGCCACTATGCCCCGAGGCTCTGGATCTGCCTTCCTCACTTCCTTCGTCTCGCTCCCTCCCTTCCCATTTTCAGGTCTCTGTTGAAGACCTTTCTTTTCGACCGCGCCTTTGGTCACCTTCCCACCCCTCCCCCTGGCTCGGTCCCGGGATCCTAAACTGTAAAGCACTCTGAGATGCTGTCCGGCGTGGAGGGCGCTATTTAATCTAAGTTGTTGTTGTTGTTTTGGGGAGTATGTTTTGTTCACATCCTTTTGTTGCCCTCCAAACTGGTTTGTGTCAGAGCCCTATTCCTTGATGATATAATAATTTTAGCACATTATAAGATTATGGATGAGGCATCAAACTGGAATCTTGTCTGCCTTTTATGTGCTCATTAAAGGTCTCAAGGAACTCTTTCAAAATGCTTTTTCTTCTATAACCACCTCCTGCACCTCTGAAATCCTCAACTTTCCTGGGCTCTCCCTCAGACTCACCAAATCCGTGAGCAATTTAGGTGTCAGGTTTGATCCCCAGTTTTCCTTTCTACCCCAGATCTGTTCTCTGACCTGGACTGCTTTTTCCCACCTCCGCCACATTGCTCGACTCAATCCGTACCCCCAACCAACGCAGTCAAAATCATCGTCCACGCCTTTGGCACTTCCTGGCTGGACTATTCCAATGCCGTCCTCGCTGGTCTCCCCAACTCCACCATACACAAAATTCAATTAATCCAAAACTCTGCTGCCCGGATACTCACCCGCACAAATCTCCTTAGCTCCATCGCTCCATCACTTTTCAAATCCCTTCATACCCTCTCACCTCCCTACCTATCCAATCTGCTTACCCCCTAAACCACCACCATCCGCTGCGTTCGCTCAGCTGGTGCCGGCCTCCTGTTAGTCCCTTGTACCCTCTGTTCCACCATCGGCGACCGGGCTTTCAGCCACTATGCCCCGAAGCTCTGGAACTCTCTCCCTCAATCCTTCTGCCTTGCCCCCTCCCCCACCACTTTCAAATCCTGCCTAAAAACCTTCATTTTTGAACGTGCTTATGGTCACCTCCATCGTCTCTCTCCCCCTGACAGTTCTGCAGTTCTGACGAAGGGTTGTGGACCCAAAACGTTGACTCACTTTCCTTTCTCCATAGATGCTGCCTGACCTGCTGAATGTTCCCAGCGACTTCTGTTTGTGTTTTCAGATTTCCAGCATCTGCAGTATTTTGCGTCTTGCGTTTGATATGGTGCCTTTCACATTGAGTGGACATCTTAAAGTCCTTCATAGGATTTATTATAATCTTTAATGACTGGTTTTCATGTGCCAATTTGCACCCAGCAATATCCCACAAATAGCCTTAAAGTGAATGATATCAAATTCAGACATTTTTTTGGTCATATTCGTATTTTTAAATACAACTCTGAAACATTATCCTGGGTATTCATCATTCTGGGTCCAAGTTTTCAAGTCTGGAAATACTACATGTGAATGCAACAGAACTAACAAAATAAATTACCCATAAATAGGTAAAGTAGTAAACAGTGAGGAGGATAGTAGCAGACTGCAAGAGAATATAGACAGACTGGTAAATAATAATAATATAATAATAATAATCCTTGCATTTAATATAGCGCTTTTTACGTCTACTAGACGTCTCAAAAATATTAGTTCAGCAGTGACCATTCCATTTCATTCCATTCAGATGAATTTAGATGAATATCCTAATCCTTGAATGGATTGCAACAACAGAATATAACAAAAGTACTCAAAACACAAATGTACTGCAATTGTTCACTCCAAGGTGGAGTGCTGAGAATTTGTTCTCCTTGGAGAGATAATAATAATAATAATCCTTGTATTTGATAAAGCACTTTCCACATCTTCAAGCGCTTCACAGAATATACTGTGAATTGACTGTATA